ATATATATATATATTTATTTATGAGTAGTTTTAAATTTAGTTAATAGCACTGGTGAGCATCTTCTGTCCGCTCATCTCTGATTGTGTTTCTTCTAAGCGTCTGTCTTAGGTTGTACCAAACAATGACGTGACGCGATCAAATAGCAACCAGCGTGGAGTGAGCGGCGAGCACTGTTTATTATGCAGCACATGTCAGCAGCGTGGAAGCATTTAAACTGTCGGAGAACGACGGAAAAGTCATTACAAGCACCGACAGCGAGAGACTGTTTAGTGCTGCATCACATGTCTTCGATGAAAAGAGGAAGGGGTGATTGTTGCTGGTTACTGATGATGATTGAAATCACGAAATGGCCTTAATTAGTAAATAACTGCAGAACGTTATGTTTTCTAATACAGGCACGCATTGCATGTATTCTGACAGCGCTGCATGAACTCCGCTTGTTAACCAGGTTCCAAAGCACGAGGAAAATCTGCTCTAAAGCAGTGTTACTCGTCAGTTGCTCAAGTCACATTTTTATGAATTTTTACAAGGCATGTGACGTATTCATAATGAGACTCATTTATAAATCTGCTGTCGACAAAAAGAAGCGCTGAGGTCTTCCTGCACGTTTCCACCAAAATAAACGTTGATAAAAAGCAAGAACTCCAACATTCATAAATGTTAGTATTGTTGTAATTTTACTGTTGTTCTGTAAAGTAAAATAAAAAGATAATAATAATGATAATAATCATTACAATAGCTGTTAATACATTTATTATAACATGCACACATAGTGTTCAAATTAAGATCTGTAATATTTTCTTATGCTTTAAAAGAAGTTCAGCAAGGCTGCTTTTAATTTTACAGTAAAAAATGCATGCCTGATTCAAGAAGGGGTTGTACTTCACAGTCTCTCATGGAAGGAGGCACAAAGAGTTCTGCGCTGGTGCCAAGAAAGGCTCCTACCATGCCCAAACCTCAGTGGCATCCCCCATGGAAACTGTACCGAGTGAGTGCCGCGTCTTTGGCTTCATTATTAAAGGCCATTGTGACAATAAAGGAGCGTTTGCAATGATGGCGTTTCATTGGAAATGATGATGCTCTTCTGGGTCATCAGTGGTCATCTGGGCTGGGTCAGATCTATAGCAGTGGAGCCTGGAAACCAGTGGTTTGTGACTGGATCAGCAGACAGGACTATAAAGGTGATCTATGTGACTTCAAATTAATCCAAATAAAGCCAAAATGATGATATGGCTTTGTGTGATTGTCATACAATAGATATAATTAAACCACAGCCTTTGTGATATAATCACACTAAGCCATTTCAGTAATTATGTGTGTTTATGTAATGTATGTAAATCTTTGCATCTGTTCTGAGTCTCTTATAGCATGTGTTTCTGAATGCAGCGTGCAAACCGTCTTCCCAAGCTTGTGAATAAAAGCACTTATGAACCTGCGGTTGTCAACAAAAGACGAGCTTTGTGCTCTCTGCAGTTTTCCACTAAAGTAAAAGAAATCATTAGGATATTAAGTAAAGATTATGTTCCATGAATATATTTTCTAAATTTCCTACTGTAAATATATCAAAACTTAATGTTTGATTAGTAATATGCATTGCTAAGAACTTCATTTGAGCAACTTTAAAGATGATTTTCTCAATATTTAGATTTTTTTACACGCTCAGATTCCAGATTTTCAAATATTGTCCGATCCTAACAAACCACACATCAATGGAAAGCTTATTTATTCAGCTTTCAGATGATGTATACATCTCAATTTCGAAAATATGACCCTTATGACTGGTTTTGTGCTGCAGGGTCACATACGTACCTTTTCATTTTACAGTGAATTACAATAAGATAATTCTAAGCTTGTGTAGAATATTATGCATCATGACTAGCGTTTGTTCTGTATTGTCAGATCTGGGATCTTGCCAGCGGGAAGCTGAAGTTGTCTCTGACGGGTCACATCAGCACGGTGAGAGGCGTCGCTGTCAGCACACGCAGCCCTTACCTCTTCTCCTGCGGCGAGGACAAGCAGGTTAAATGCTGGGATCTAGAGTATAACAAGGTACAGCCTTTAAATACAAACACAAACCATGTGCATTCAGCCTGAGCTTTACTTACAGAAGACTTCCACAGGTTATTAGGCACTATCACGGCCATCTGAGCGCAGTCTACGACATTGACCTCCATCCTACCATTGATGTGCTGGTGACCTGCAGTCGAGACGCCTCCGCCAGAGTAAGACATCACGAGTCCTCGCATGTTTTTGCTGGTGATTGATCTTGAACCTACTGTGCAACAGTACTATCGTGTGTGTGTGTGTGTGTGTGTGTGGTAGGTTTGGGACATCAGGTCCAAGGCAAATGTCCACACTCTTTCTGGACACACCAACACAGTGGCTACCGTCAAATGTCAAAGTGCCGAGCCACAGGTGGTTACAGGTGTGTATCCGTCTTATATTTTTCCTTCTGGACCGATTTCTGCTGCAGCTACAGTTTTCGAGAGAATACCTTGTGTTTTTCTGTTATGCTCATGTTTGATGTGCTTTATTTTCCTCCTTCAGGAAGTCATGACACCACCATCAGACTCTGGGATCTGGTCGCTGGCAAGACTAGAGCCACTCTGACCAATCACAAGAAGTCTGTCAGAGCACTGGTGCTCCATCCCAGACAGTATGTTGATTTTGAGTGAACAACATCAAAAAAAATCTGTAAGAAACACGATTAACTAATAGGGATGCACCGAATGTTCGGCCGAAAATAGCAAAAAACTGAATAAATTGTACCAAACAATGACGTGACGCGATCAAATAGCAACCAGCGTGGAGTGAGCGGCGAGCACTGTTTATTATGCAGCACATGTCAGCAGCGTGGAAGCATTTAAACTGTCGGAGAACGACGGAAAAGTCATTACAAGCACCGACAGCGAGAGACTGTTTAGTGCTGCATCACATGTCTTCGATGAAAAGAGGAAGGGGTGATTGTTGCTGGTTACTGATGATGATTGAAATCACGAAATGGCCTTAATTAGTAAATAACTGCAGAACGTTATGTTTTCTAATACAGGCACGCATTGCATGTATTCTGACAGCGCTGCATGAACTCCGCTTGTTAACCAGGTTCCAAAGCACGAGGAAAATCTGCTCTAAAGCAGTGTTACTCGTCAGTTGCTCAAGTCACATTTTTATGAATTTTTACAAGGCATGTGACGTATTCATAATGAGACTCATTTATAAATCTGCTGTCGACAAAAAGAAGCGCTGAGGTCTTCCTGCACGTTTCCACCAAAATAAACGTTGATAAAAAGCAAGAACTCCAACATTCATAAATGTTAGTATTGTTGTAATTTTACTGTTGTTCTGTAAAGTAAAATAAAAAGATAATAATAATGATAATAATCATTACAATAGCTGTTAATACATTTATTATAACATGCACACATAGTGTTCAAATTAAGATCTGTAATATTTTCTTATGCTTTAAAAGAAGTTCAGCAAGGCTGCTTTTAATTTTACAGTAAAAAATGCATGCCTGATTCAAGAAGGGGGTCTGATCGCCAAAAAATATTATTTTACAAACTCGTTAAATTGTGCTTTGTTGGTATAGTGTGCTAGAATGTAAAAAAACGTTCAGTGTTAAATATTTTTAAATTGCTGTTTTGTAATTGATTTTTTTCTTTAAAAAGCAAGACAAAACCGTAAACATTTTGGCTATTTAATTTATGCAATGGTGAAAAAAAATTGGCAAAATACACGAGGAAAAATTTTTTTTTTTATTGGCTTCGGCCAATAATTTTCATTTCGGTGCATCCCTATTAACTAATATAGTAGTGAACCTTTAAACGGAGTAGAAACAGAATAAAGTAATTTAAGTTGTGAATTAAGGCCCTATAAAATCCACCTTTTTTTTTTATTAGTTTATTTCAATTTGTGCCACATTCTGTTTCCATGTGACATTGCAGTTTTCTGTGTGTTCAGTAAAAAAACAGGTTATTAAAATTGTTAAACAATGATCGGCAGATGTTTTCGCTGCAAAGCAAGCAGACGCAAACTAATCAAATTCGTTGTTAATTATATTCATTAACGGTTATAATGTAGTTTATTGATTAGTTGTTACAGTATTTATATACTATTCTAGTATTTATTCGTATTTTGATTTGGCTTTTTACATTTTCAAATTTTTCTGAGGTTTTCGTTATTTGTGCTTTTGTCTTTTTTTTATGTATATTTATAAATTGCTTTATTTTAGTTTTAGTAACTTTAGTAATTCAGATTAAACGTACTACAGTTAGTTGCCAGGGTATTATTTGCATTGAACGTTACATTTTACTACATGATAGTATTTTTTTCTTTTTCTTCAATTTCATGCATCTGGTTAAACAGAGCTTTTATTTTGGTGCAAGATTTACATGATGTATTTTTAGCCATAATTTGTTTCCCGTATGACAGAAATCATGTTCATGTCAACAATGTTACAGATTGCCACAGATCTGTTTCAAAGCTTTCCTGTCTCTTCATCAAAATCAGGTACACCTTTGCCTCTGGCTCTCCAGACAACATCAAGCAGTGGAAATGTCCTGATGGGAACTTCATCCAAAATCTTTCCGGACACAACGCCATCATCAACACGCTGGCTGTCAATTCAGATGGAGTTCTGGTGTCTGGAGGTGAAATGCTCCTTCACACTTTTACGTTGCAAAGCTGGTCCTGCTAAAAATCTGTTGAACAATGTTGAATTGTGTCTCATTCCTGATTCCCTCCCTCATGTCCAATTGACCTGTCGGTAAGCCCCTCCCCTCGAACGCAGATGAGCCAATGGCAGTCGAGTATCAGTTGCATGAGGAGCGGAACTCCGACATCTGTAGGCTTCAGCGCCATAGAGAAACATTGGAAGATTGGTGTTTATGCTTCAAAAATGGAAAAACGATGTGCCTGGGGTACTTATAACACTGACTCCAGCTATCCTGAGAGGATGGGCAATAGAATTAATTTTATTCCATTTCCTAAATCCAACCAAAACGGAGCAAGACGTCCCTAAGCATTCACCCGCAATCACCATGAAGACGAAAACTTTCATTTTCTGGTTGTCGTACTCTCATTAAGTTACACTTTTCATCAGCTCAAGCTGAACGTTAATGTCATCTTGTGCTTCAGCAAGGTATCTCTGGCTAAAACTAGTCCATGCTAACGTACAAACCTAAATAGCGAACTGTTCTCTTTAATATCTTTTATATATCCCTCCAAGGCATATTTAAGTCCCACTTGAAGGTCCATCTGTGTCCCAAATTGATCAGAAACCCCTCGGAAGAAGGTTTTCGCTGACAGCTGTCGTTGTAAGGCAGTGAGCAACAACGTTTGTTTGTTCGAGTGAGCAACCAATAAACAGTAACTGAGGGGGCGGGGCTTACCGATAGGTCAATTGATGCATCTGTTGTTGACTGTTGTTTTTCTCATCAGCTGATAACGGCACTATTCACATGTGGGACTGGAGGACTGGCTACAACTTCCAGAGGATTCATGCGGCGGTGCAGCCCGGTTCTCTAGACAGTGAGTCTGGGATCTTTGCGTGCGTGTTCGATCAGTCTGAGAGCCGCCTCATAACAGCAGAGGCTGACAAAACCATCAAGGTCTACAAAGAGGACGACACGGCTGTAAGTTATTGCTTGTTATTCTACTCAAAACTATTAATGATAAAATGTGTCGATTGTGAAATGTTTATAATTGAAAGGTTTGTCAGATGGAAAAGGATTGCCTTGATGTTCTGCTGCAAATTTACCAAGTTAAGATTTTCTTTAAAACTAGTTTTTTTTGTTTTTTTCCAGACTGAAGAATCCCACCCGGTTAATTGGAAACCTGAGATTCTGAAGAGAAAAAGATTTTAATATTTGCTGGGTTTTTTTCTGTTTTTGAAAACTTTCATTTTGTTACATTTTAGCCAGCTGATTTCTAACAGTTTCTGCTTAAGACATAAACGTAAACAGCACATTCACAATTTAAGTGAAGTCAGGAGACTTAAGATCAGATGAGACATTTAGCTTTGTTCTACCCATTTAAAAAAAAAAAAAAAAACACTGGGGAGATCTGGGATGTAAAAAAAAGAAAAAAAAGATAGAATGCCATATAGACTAAATTCTCTACAGAAAAGTTTCAAGAGCAAATTTCTCTTGTGATGAAGAAAAACTTATGCATTTTTTTTTATAA